GTTTTATGTTAGTCTTTTGAAAATGAAGATGTTGTATTAGTTTTATGATCTCTGGCATTAAAGAAAGTCCTCAATTGTTATTTTAGGAGCATACCCAACCCCATCTGGTCCCCTAAGACATTGACAGAAGAACTGCTGCAGTATTTTCAATCAGATGCTAGCACACAGCATAACCCTTCTTTTCCTCCAAACCAACTATCCCATGAGACTTTCGGTAAAACACAGCAACTGTCAGTGAATCAAGATGTTAAGGAGTTGAGTCAACAATCCAGTGGCTTTGCTAACAATCAAACATGGCTTTTTAATTTGCCTAACGGAGACAGCTACTGCCGACCTGCCCAGAAGCTGCCCTCAGTCGCACCAATGCCCAATGCAGGAAGCACCTACCCATCACAGACACAACCAGTCAGCATGTCAGCTTATAATGACAGAGGCATTGGACAGCCTATGAATAATTTTCTCAACCTCAGTGACATTTTTAGACCTCAAAGTGCAACGAGCAGCAGCTGTTTTGATCCTTTCCATGAAGATAACTTGATTCAGAACAGTGTAAAGTCCATTTATAGTGAGCAGTATGTGCCAGAAGACATAAACCAGCTAGTCAGCAGTTTTCAGTCAGTCATGGCTGATAGCGTATATCATGGAGACTTTCCAAACACACACAAGCTGGCATTGGGCATGCACCATGAAGATAGCATGGCTGAAGAATGGGAAATCACCAGCCCTGCAATGTCAACACAAAGTACTCCCGCAATGCAGATCCCAAAACAGCTGGTGGGAGAATTTGGGACAAGACAGAGGGAAAGAACTGAAGGAGTGAGGAAACAAACATTTAAATGTGATGCGTTTCAAGATCGATGTGATTTCACCCCTCAAAACACAGAGTGCTTCCAGCAATCAAAGCCCTTCTCTGCACCTTTAAACATCCCAAACCAATACCAAAACAAAATGACAGTGCACAGAGAGAACATTAATGTAAGTATGAACCAATATTCAAACCATCATATCCAGCTGAGCCAGATACAGAACAAGATCAAGCCACAGATACAGAAAGAAAAAAAGAGGATGCACATGTCTGGAGTACTGGGAGAAGACTTTTCTAGGAGGCCCCAAACCAACGCTCACATGAGAGAGGGAGATAAACAACACCTCTCACAAAGCCCACACTTTGACTTCCAGAGCAGCCAGCAGTCTCAGAGCAGCATATTCAGTGGAGGGAATGTACAGCAGGTGATGCCTTTCATGTATCCTGGAAATGACCTCAGGAGGCAGCCCAGCATGTCCATCAACTCTAACTTCAGCTCTAGATCCACATTACCCTATGGTAGTGGTGTTCCTGGTGCTAATGTGGGTGATATGATATCAGCCAATGATTCTCAAGCTTTCAACTCTTACGTCGGTGACATAAGGACCCACAGAGCAGAGAGCACTTGTCATGTCCCGGCCTCTGCCATGACGACTTCAGTGCTGATGAATCAGGGAGGACCTGTGATCCAGCCTTGCTTCTACCTGTGCGAGTGTTACGAGCAATGGAGGTTTCTGGAGAAGGAGAGAAAGAAGGTATGCGATTAAAATCTGAATTTGTGTCAGGTAAAAATATGTCTGGGGATCATAATCAGGAATGGTATAACAGCCACTTTTTGTGGTTTCAATGGAAGAGTACAGGTGATATTGAGTTTACTTTATTCCTATTTAGTTATTAATGAAAAACATGGTACTAAGTATTTTTGTAATTTGGAGCTATTGAACTGCCAAACGTATCTACAGAGGTCCAGCTTTAATTCTAATATTGTTAATTAGGCCCGTGTGCACTGTACAGTTTTACTATACTGGGAGGAAAGATTTTCCAGTTTGGGCCGAGGTTCTGACAAATATTCAACTCCACCTTAAGATGAGGGCAAAAGTATTTTCAGTTCCTCATGGAGACACTATTTTGCTATTTAGTCAGCTGTTTTGTACCAATGTTTAAAAGTGGTTTGGTCAATGTTTTTGTCTTTTAATGTTTGTCTTTTTTACACACAACGACACACTCAAGGATAATCGACGTCTATGTGTCCTAGCAGTCAAAACACATGAAAGAGAAGATATTATCTTTCATTATTTTTGTTATTTATTCCATGCAAGATATATTTTTAGCTCATTTTTATTAAGATGAGCTCTGCAAACAATACATTCTGTGTTTTTGCAATTGTGTTGGCTATGGAGTTGGCCTGAATTTAGAAACTATTTAATATCAGGATGTCATGTTCTTATGTTTTGCTTTGTTTTTTTTTTTTTAGATAGAGGCCACCCTTAAAACAGTTTTTAGGAAAGGGCCTGCAGGAGTGACCAACATGAACCTACCCAAAACTCCACCATACCCCACAACAATTGACCACCTGATTGTTAATCAGACACGACAATACACAAAGGTGAGACCCCTGAATTGATTGCATTCACACTGCCACCCACTGGCGAATTTTGTCACAGCAGCATTGTTGTGTCCTGCAGGGTTTACAGAATTATTTGGCAAATATTTGAGTTCAGTTCAGTTGCGAAACAGCTACTCCTCCCAAAATTTCTTAGCTGATTTCCTTAGTTTAGTGGATTATTTAGTTTCGTCTTATTTTCATTTATTTCCACAATCATTAAAAAAAAACATACTTGCATACAGAGTACAAGTACAGAGTGCTTACAATGTACAGACCCAGTATAAAAAGTTAATGTTTTAGAATTTCTTGTTGATAAATGAACTATTTCTGTGCATTGTATTTTGTGTAATAGCTGATTAATGAGTGATCATGGTAAGAAAGACCAAATACTGGGTTTGATTGTTTTTGTGTGGACTGGGTGCTCCCGAATTTTTTTTTTACCTGACCCAGTGCTGTGCTTTTGTTTATAAATCTAGTTCTGGTAAAAACTTAAATCCCTTTTTATTAAGATTTTACATATATTTTGATGCTATATCACTTTTGTTTTGTAAAACTGTAAGGCATACATAGATAAACCAAGTAAAGTAAATATTACTATAGTTTTTCTTGAACTCACATACAGAGAATATCCCATTATGAAATCCATCCATCCATTATCTACACACCGCTTAATCCTCACTAGGGTTGCGGGGGGGCTGGAGTCTGTCCTAGCTGACTTAAGGCGAAGGCAGGGGACACCCTGGACAGGTCAACAGTCTATCACAGGGCCACACTTAGAGACAGACAACCAAACACACTCACATTCACACCTACGGACAATTTAGAATCACCAATTAACCTCAACATCTTTTTGGACTGTGTGGGAGGAAGCCGGAGAATCCGGAGAGAACCCACGCTGCACGGGGAGAACATGCAAACTCTGCACAGAAATGCGAACTGGTGACCTTCTTGCTGTGAGGCAACAATGCTAACCACCGATCCACCTTGCAGCCCCCATTATGAAATCCATTTCTAAAACTGAGAAAGGAATATAAACGTAGATTATGTTGGTGTGTTGCAGGTGGAAAGCCTTCTGGAACGGATGGAGTGTCTGTGTAGCACTCCTCTATGCAGCAACATCCACGCAGCACTGAAGAGGCATCATATGGCTATTTGCATCACACAAGCAAGATGCATGGACACTGCAAACATGACCAAACACCAGCGACAGAAACCTCATTTCACAGAGGACAGAGGTAACCCATATTTAATAACTAAACATACTACATTGTCCTCTTTATATGCTGCTGGACCTAACTTGCTTCTGTTTCCTAGGACCCTTGTTGTTGAGCATTTCAGTGAAGGACCTAGCTGCCTCCACTAGGAAACTCCGTACAGCTCTGTGGTGTGCTCTTCAAATGACACTGCCAAAGGCTGGCAAGATGCAGTACCATGTTAACAAGGAGGACACATGTAGTGAGAAATGCTTCTCTCTTTTTGAAATTAGCTCTTTTCAGTTATAATCTACCAAGTTAAAGGTGCCCAGAGTGCCCTATTTATTAGTGTCTCATAGTCAGAAGAGTGACACAAACAAATGTTCTTATCGTATTACTTACCTGCAAGTCAATATGATATTTTATCTGCAACACAGGGGTCACTGCAGAACATGATATGAGTAATTTGAAGCTAAGTAGGAATTGCATGAAATGTAATTTGTCCTGCTGCATCTTAACTTCATTTAATTAGTGTCAGTTCCAAATCAACATGAATCTGATTGTATTTAAAGGCACTATTTATGTGGAAGATTTCAGTGAATTCTTCATCGTTTTACTTATTTACTGGAATGTAATGGAACCTCAGTTTTGAGTATTCCCACGCAATAATTGAATCACCATGGCAGTAGTTTAAAATAAACATACTAAACATTAAATCATTTCCTGAAATGTTCCAGTTAATTTCTGCAGCATCAGCTTTTCTTATGTTTAAACATTCTGTAATTGAAAAAGGTTTCTACCTGCAATTTGGTGGGGTTTGAAATGTACCAACAATACTAAAATATCTAGAAAAGGGGTTCAATATCAGTTGTCAGTCATCAGTGAAATGTAACATAGCTAAGTTAAAAAATAATTCTGTAAGCGCAGTTGTCGTACGACTTGTTCTATTTCAGTCGTTTATAATAAGCATGCTAAATTATATGATTTTTCCTAAAATGTTTCATTTAGTATCTGAAACTTTTCTTTCTTCTGTTGGTAACTGTGAGATCATAAATCGGTTTAATTTATATAAAATGTTGTCAGAATTGTAAACATGCTAAAGCGTTCTAAGTTCAGCATAAAACATTTTAAATGCATTAATCACATTATCAAACATTATCCGTAAAGTGTGAATGCTTGTCAGCAAGGGACCAAAGTGTGTATTCATTATAAAGCTAAGTCAAGAAAAAATTTCTCTGAAAGCCTTTAGCTTCTAGACATCCTGCAGGGGGACTCCTCTGACAGTGCTTCAGGAATATAGGCAAGGTTGTTCTATTCTCTGTCATTTTAATGCTGTTGTTGTGTTTTTTCTTGTTAATTGTTGTCATCTGAAAAAATCTTAATAAAGCAATCCAAATTGCTGAAAAATGCTTTTTTTATTCATTTAAAAAGATGTTGAACCTCATTATAAACATTGAGATGATGGTACATGATATATTCGAGGTATAATTTACCAACTGCTCCTTTCTTCTTAGTCTCCAACAAAATGTATACACAGTAAAACTATAATCTAAAGCATTGAAATGCAAGCAATGAAGTTTGACAGCAGCACCGGCCTTGACGCAGAAGTTGTGCAGAAAAAAAAAAAGAAGGCATTTGCAAGGTGTTGGCACAAAGGACAACAGCAGAAAATGTGGACTGAGCTGCTTCACAAGGATTTCTCCATTTTTACCATGAACAGTCCAATTTGTGTTTCAGGTGTATAATTTTGGGGTAACTTGGTCAACACTTAGCCACAGCACGTGTCACATTTGTTGACCAACAATATGAGACTATCACAGTTGTCTTTAGATTAAGATTTGCAGCTTTATTCCAAGATAACATCGATCTGTATCTGATTAAATCAGAATCAGAAATAAATATAATGAATTTTGTTTCTGCACAACATCCAGTTCATTGATTTTCACACATATTATGAGACACATAATGTAATTAACAAGGAGGATCTGATAAACATGAGTGACAGTGCCGAGGAGGTTTAGCTAAAAAGAGTAGAAGACAATAGTTCTTTTTTTAAACTTTGTCTTGTAAGAAAAACGTTTCACATACAAAGTGTCCTGTCATTTGGTTTTATCTTTTGCGTTCACCTTTCTGTGTACGCTTCTTCTCCTTCTCTTTTCTGTCTTGTTTGGCTAGTTTGTCCTTCTCCCGCTGCATCTTGTCACTTTCCTTCTTCTTCTGAGCATCCTCACGAGCCTGGTCCCGCTTTTGCTTTTGTCTGTTGAGCACCTCCTCCACATTGGTGTTCTTGAACAGAGCTGACACTTTCAGTAAAGGAGAGCTTGATGCAAAATAATCATTACTACGTATGTCCACTGAGAGGGTGTGAATAATTCTAACACTGTATCATGGTTTTACAACTAGAGCATTGCCCATTCATATAGTAGGACTTAGTCACGTGTTTTTTTAAAAGCATGTGTTCACAAATAGCTAGAAAAGGATACATTTTTCATTTCCAGCAAAGGCGTTTCCACTTTGTGGCTCCTCTTCCTCAGCTTCAGTGTGTTAGTCAAGGAAAGAACTGACATCTTAGAAATCACGACTGTACAGGATGACGCAACAACTTTTTTTTGTTGCTTACGTCTTTCAATGACTATGCTCATGGACGCTATCTTTGTATGGTCAAAGAAGTGTGTCGTCTTACTGTTAAAAATCAAGGATATTCCTCTTCGTCTGTTATGTTAGCGTACTGGGCAAGAAGGGCCTCTTTCCGTTTCTTTGACTCCGCAGACACCTCCTTCTGCTTCACCACAATCTGAGCTTGTTTTTCTATCATACTGGCAATGGCCTGGACCTCAGCTACAGAAAAGGAATGGCAGAGCACAGTCAAACTGTAAACAAATAATGACAACATTTAGTACCTTCCGTTGCAATAAAAGTACTTGCTTTTTTGCTGTCACTATGAAGGTATGTTAACAGAAAGAGCAGACAGTATAGCACATCCTTATGGCTATGTACACAGTAAACAATCTCATTCCAAGAATACTGACAAAACAAACTCAGCGTTAATTACTTTCTGGCATAAACCAAACCACAGAAACTTTATGCAATCCCAGGAGCTGTTTTTGTTTCTTTTTTTTTTTATTTTTTCAGGAAATGTTAATCTCTTATGAAGACAAGTCTCTCTGTGCACTCTGTTTCAAACTCAGAACAAGGGAGCTTAAACTGAAAGAGCTAATGCCTCTGTATGTTTAACTAGTATTAAAGACAGACTCTGTAGCAAGCTGTCTTTTCTCTGTTTATTCAAGATTTAAAGGAGCTGATGAGTCTGCTGGCTTGATTGTTTTGACTGCCATATCTATCTATCTATCTATCTATCTATCTATCTAGTATATATAAATGTCTAGTGTTTGGATTGCACTGTTGCAGGATTTTTAAATTTGCATTAACTCACAGGTACAATTTAAGTGTACAGTACTGTATGTTGATGTTCTGCAGGATCAGTAAAATTCCTGCCAACATGGATGGCTTCTTCCTAAAGAGTTACTGAATTATGCAAGCTTTCTTGACGAAAAAAATAAATTAAAAAAACATTTCACTGACATCATCAAAGTAGATGAATCAAAGTTACATAAATACCATCTTCAGCATTTCTTTTGGCTGCTGATCGACTGCAATACTCTGTCCACTCCTTGATGATCTGTTTACAGACATCTTCCATAGTGTCCTCATCCTGCATACAAATGACAACATTACAAAGTAGTGTAAGCAAGTGAAGTACAAGGAACAGCTCAAATTCTGTACTCAGTATGGAATAAATACAGTGGTGTTATGATTCAATTACTTATTTAAATGCCAGGGGGTGACACGTTTGAGCCTGAATAAAGACGCTACAATAATTCATATCAATACTGCGTTATTCACTCCAAGTGTGAACATGGTCAAACAATTACTAACATGCATCTCTACCAAACAGCACGGTGAACTTGACAGTGCTTTTTCTAAGCTGTGTATGCCAAAAAAAAAAAAAAAATGTTCAGGGACTGTAGAGTACTGACTCATATGTTGCTTGGTGCGTGTCGCTACTGATCGAGCCGACAACTATCTACAAATCCCAGATTTTTGAATGGGGTTTGGTGTGGCAGGAGATATAAGCTCATCTCTCTGCCGAGTGTGTGGACTTGAAGAAACCCTGCTGCGTCTAAACAACGATATCGACCTCCACAAATAACAGCTGACATCAGCACTGTCACAAGGTACCACCCGGCAGACAAGACGGACAGCAACAAATGAGAAACCACAGGCGCGGTGGCTGAGCGGAACACGCCGCTTCGGATATTCACCAGAAATGCGGATAAAATTCCTTGAAGCGCATCTTCTTTCTCCTCGTCGCTCTCCTCTTCTTGTAGAATCCCTAAAATGTACGCCCCGTACACCTCACGGTCTACTTCTAACGAGTCTAGCCGATCATTTAGCCAGCTTTCAAACTCCCCGGCGTCTGTCAAGGGCGCAGCCATCTTGGCCCTTTGGGGTCCTTCTTAGCCGCCTGGCTGTCCTTTGTGATTGCCTGTGAAAAAAACAAGCTATAGACACAGGTGTTTCTAAGCCCACTTTTATTTTTTCACACCAACGCCGAAGTAACCACGCTGCCCCAGGTAACTATGGTGTGACATGTTGTAAAAGGCGGATATACAAATTCAACAGCCGATAGGTTGATTATATTAAATATTTGTAGCAGTCAGCTGTTTGCACTAAGTTCGAGGAGTTGTTATGACTGAAAAGTTCCATTTAGCGGTACATTCCACTTTACAGTTTTTCTTAAAGTCTGGCAATACTGAACCATTAATTTCCACAGTCAGTAAATACGCTGGTGTATTTATGCAGTTCACATTTTTTTCTTCTCTTAAACATGGATAAAACTCACTCTAAAATACACGTTTCAAAATTGCTACATCGATTCTCCAAGTCTCTACTTCCATCTTCTCCCTCCTTTTCTTCCTTCGTGATCACCTTTCCCTGAAATCACCGAAAGTGGCCGATTGAATCACCACTATTGATCCTATTGAATCAATAGCGGTCGAATCAAACCAAGTACACTCACTCTGATGAAGCTTACTTGTATTTTACTTGCTACTTTCTACCTCTACTTCTCTGTATTTTGGAGGTACATTTTGTACCACTACAATTATTTAAACTTTTAGTCATTAAATGTAGAGTGTTCATATAAAACATAAATCTTCTCTAGTACATTCTGCTGTAGGTTGAGCCACTGAACAATAGCCTTTATAAAATAAAGTAAAAGTAGCTCCCATTGCAACACTAAATATTGATGTACACATTACTGAATCAATAGCATTCTCTATCGTGAGCACTTTTACTTTAGGTATTTTATTTTGAAGCCACTACTTTTGTATTTTTATTTAAGTAGTACTTTGCTTTGATTACATTTACCTAAGTAAAGCATCTAAATACTTGTTACCCCACTGTCTCTGATGTGTGCCTGTTCTACATCAAGGGTTCCTACTTTGCCCCCCTGTAGAGTAAATCTGAGACACAACATTTCACAAGTTGCACCTAAGCTAAATTACGGCCCGTAGTCTATGAACACAGGTCTTGTCAACTGTCCATTTGAACGATAATTGCTGTGATAACTTTGTCCTGCTGCTAGTCTGGCTTGTTAAATTAAGTTCAGTCGCCAAAATTTCAATCAGTGCTAAATGCCCAGCATTGGCAGTCGTATAAGTGCCCTGGTATACTGCCACAAATACCAACGCTTTTGATTGAAAATTAATGTTTGATTGTCCTCACAGTTTACAGACGTACTTATACACTCACTTGTAGGCTTTGAGCACTAGGTGTGCCAGTACTAGTCAAACTGAAATTCTGATTTCAAAATAATGAGCTATTCTTTTTTAACTCAGTGGGCAGCTGGCAGTCAAACAGCTCCTGGCAGAACACTATCATAACCACAACATACCAAAAATACTGGAAAAACTATTTGTTTCTGTCATCTAAATGAAGAAAAGTCTTCTCTGAGGAGTAATTTGTGTGATTGTAAACCTCTGACAAGGTATTTGCGATTCCTCATTGGCACTGAAGTAATTGAGACATAAGTATTCTTCATTATTATCATGTGTGGTTAGTTGCTTAAAGTTAAATAAGTTTTTAGAATTGATCACTAACCTTTGTGTTGCTGGATTCACTGCCTGTGTAGAAGGAGGCACGGAGGAAACACAGATGTTTTGGGATCACAATTAGCATAAACATTCTGTGACATTCTGTTTTTGGCCACTGGGTGGAAGTAGAAGACAGATTTGTTTACTCCTCTCATATGATAAAGACACAGGATATAGTTGGCTTCAGTTGCACGACAATGGCTCGGACCTTATCTAGTATGTGATTCATTTCAAATTGCTCTATGTGCGTCAAAGTCAGTTTGTTAAAGTACAGTTGTAAGCAACGCTGTGCAGCACAAAAATGCCCTGCCAGATGTTTGTTCATCCTCTTTCATTTGACACTGGGACAATAGACAACACCTCCTAGCTGTTTGAATATATTAAACAATGTTTCCGTGTGAATGGCTTGATCTCGCTTTTAGAAAGCACTTTGTGCAAGGGTTGTTATTACTTACATCCCCTAGTTACACCCTCTAACACATATATATATATGCACACACGCACACTCCCCTTCCCACTGATCCTACATAATAGCTTCACACGTCGCTGGCCTTGCAGTAATGAAGTGTGAAGCTTCTGTGACGCCACAGGGAAGCTACCGCGTGGAACTGTACTCTCTATTTTAGTGCACCACCTTCAATTCCTTATAGACCAGATATATTTACTCAAATATTTAGCTCACTTTGTACTTTCTACAGGCAAAATTCAAGGTAATGTTCACCAAACAGCCCATAACCAGACTGATAAGTTGGTGCATCAGGCTCAGTGCTTCTTCCTTTAGTTCTGTTTTGTGCAAATAGTGTTATGCATAAATCTGAAGCTGGACTAAAATGGACAAAATGTGTTTTTGCAGATTATCAATCAATTTTAACTATGATCTGAGTCTCACATAAAAAAAAGTACCATTTGAGTTTGAGTATGGTGTTGTATACATTCAGCTGAAGTTCGAGTAACTGCACAAAAAGAAATAAAAGAAAAGTAACAGACACTTGGAACAGCTTTTTTTTTTTTTACGTTTGAGATTTTCAAATTCATAATTGAAATTAGGTTCTCTAAAGTTTGCAGTTTTATTGATGTCCTTTGGCACTCACTTGTCTTGAGTTATTGTAGCTAGTACCAAAATGGTGAAGTACATTAATTTCATGTATTCTAACTGCCAAAATAGTTCCCCGTGAACAGAGTGGTGTGCTAGTGAGAGGAAAACTGCCATTAAAACAGGCTGGCGTAGTCATATTTCAAGCTGAGGGGCCCAGGGTCGATGCATAATGCCATTGCCTCTCATACTACTGCGTAGCTTTAGGACGCCTGTCCTATTTATATTGAGGGGCTGTGGATTGATGCGAAATGACGAGGGCCGCGAGGCTGCTGAGTGGGTGGGCATCCACATGCTCTGCTCCACAGGCAACCCTCTACTTCTATACATGCGCACATACAAATACACGCTCACACACGCTCACACACATGCACACTTGTCTTTGTGTCCCAATGCCACCAGCCTTAGAAAAGCCCTACAGTCTCAATGTGCAATGTCCTCTCTCTGTCAACATATCCTCTATGGCAGCGTTAATGTGACAGAATATAACCAGAGCCCAGAACAACCAGGCAGTGCAGCACAACTGAAAACAGCATGTGTAACAGGCATGTTTCCTCATCTTCTCCAGCAGCTTGCCTTCTCATCACACAGTAGCTCAAGATGTAGCAGCACTGAAAGTTTGAGATGCTAGTAATTCTGTTGAATAAGGCTGTTAAATCACATTTCTTTAGTATGTGGTGGAGCAGAGATCCCGATTCCTGTCGTCTCACTTGTCTCCATTACGTTGCAGGAGATAATAATGAGTGAAATTAATTTGTGACAGTGTTAGAGCTTTGTAATGTTTTATCTGGTAGAACGCATAGTGCTATTAAAGTGTTAAAATGATTAATTTTCATAGTTTGGGACTGCACTGTGCATCTAACCTGTGAGACGGTGACAGACAAGACGCCAGCGCGGTTTATCCACAGAAACTACAATAGTATTACAACACAATGATCTAAAAATATGACTACGTTATGTTTCATTTGTTAACGTTAATTGCTAAGATATCATATATCTGTTTTTCTATTTTTATTCCTTTTCACTTCTCGCAACTCTCCCACACACATATTCACTCTCACTCACTCTGCTCCCCCCACCCCCCACCCACCCACACGCAGACTTTGACAGACATGCAAACTCTATCGTTCCGCGGTTAATCGAAAGGTAGTAAGGGAAGTGAGAGATGGGTGATGGGTTACAACATTATCCAATGCTGTCAGTGCTTTTAAGAGCAGAGGTAATGTTTGGTCACTGCTGTCCTTCTGTCAGTGTCAGATTGATTCCTGATTGCTTATTGAGTCTGAAACTAAACATCAAGGTTGTCAAAACTTGATTGGTTGCTAAGATTACCTCACCACACTTGCTATGTGAAGGGCTCACTGGTACCATGTTAGAAAAGTTGCTCAAAGTTCCTCGATCTTTGCAGTATCATAACTAAAACAGCTAGCTTTTCTGCATTTTTTTTTTTTTTTTTTAGTGCTTACCTAAGCTAACCGGCTGCTGGCTGCAGTTTCATATTTACTGTCACACATCACAGTGGTCTCCTCATTGCTGCCAAGAAGCAAATTTGTCTCCTTCTAAAATGCTTAACTACTCCCATTCCTTTTAAAGGCAGCTTTTAAAAGTTGCGAGTGTCCTCCTGCAGAGAACAACAGCTGTGCTCAGCTTGAATTCATGTTGAATTACGATGTCCAGAAGATTTGTTTTTCCAGAGAAAAAAGGGATCACGAGCGACTGGATCTTTGAATGCTAGTTCCAACAATACAATCCACTTCTCTGGTGTCCATTTATAGGTGCCATAGTTTTACCATAATGTTCTACCATAAAGCCTGAGTCAGACCAGCAGTCAAAAACCTAAAAATACAATATGTAGTTGACAAAAAAGACAATAAATAGGTTAAGAAAATCTGAAAATCCCCAAAAATGAGAAATTGAAACACATTTGAGATATTTTGTCTTGAAAAATTCAACTTAAAAAAAAAAGTATTTTGTAGTTGTTGACTAATTATTAGAGTGATGTTATTGATGCATCAATGCACCGTTTTAGTTTTACGTTGTTCAGTGCAGTGATACACAGCCACCAAACAGTCACACAATACATGTGAGAGCAATACGAGTGTATTATTGGGACTCTTTTTCTAATCTTTACTCATTTGTGAAATATTATATAATATGATCTCTTTGGACTTTGAACAATTATATAAATGAAACTGTGTAAGAGGTTTAGAACGGAAACATGTCATCAGCACCTCTTAGGAAGTCTGACCTCACCTGAGATGGACT